TCCAATCAGCTACCGCCCCGTCCACCCCCTATCAAAACCCAGAACGCAGCTCCCTATAAATGTACATGCAGTCCTTGAATAAAGCAGAACTTCTCTGGCGAACTGTCAGCTCGGGTCATGTCGTTTTATCAGCTCGGGTCCGTGTGCCCTTTCACTTTTCCCACCTCTGAGCTCCCTAGACTTCTGGTTTTACCTGGTTTCACCAAGGCCTCCCATATTACAGTTTCATCTTTCTTGTCTCTAATTTGCAGCCTGATCCCGGACCCCAAGTGGCCAACGTAGAACTCAGAGAAGAGCTGGGACTCTCCAGGGCTCCGATAGCAGAGCTCCAGTTCCTGAACAGAGAAAGAGTTGCCACGTGAGAAACCACTGTTCATCCTGCAAGTCCTTCCCCACCCGACACTTTCTTAGCCCTGCTCAACCCCATAGGGACACTCTAATCATCTCCTGTGCTGAAATCAATTGCCACCTTCAGACCACAAATCCTGACTCAAAGATGAGAACACAGCTGGGTACCCCATGGATGAGTCAGGGCTCAACCTTAAAAATGGAGCTCACGCATCCTACTCCAGATCCTTCTCTCTCCATCTTGAGTCAGACAGGTTCTTCTTCCTTGACCTCCCCCATCTTGAATCTGAACCCTTATTTCTCCAGCCCAAAGCCTGTCTTCCCAATGAATCTTAAACTTGATCCACTTTCAATCAACAGAACATTGGCATCCATCCTCTTTCCTAAATTATGTCCACCACAGAACTCTTGATTCCCAACTGTCTTCCAAACACGCTCTTTCCCATTTTCCCCAAACTCAGTAAATGGCACCAACATCCACCGAACACACAGGTGCCAAAGGAGGCATCATCTGGAACTCCCTCCCATACCCAGCCAATCTGCCAAGTCCTGTTGGCTCTACTTCCAAAGTATAACCTGAATCCATCAACTTTTCTCCGTCTTCACTTCTACCACCCTAGTCAAGCCACCATCAAGTCTAGCCTGCCTTTTGCAAGAGCCTTGTGCCCTGTCTCTCCTCATCCACCCTTGCCTGCTTATTGTGCATTCTCACCCAGCAGCCGGAGGCATCTTTGTGAAAGTGAGTCAGGTCTTGTATCACCCTGTTTAAGACCCCCCAAGGGCTTGCCACTGCACTTAGGACAAAACCCAAACTCCACCTCAGGGTGGCCAGGGCGCATGAGCCCTGGGAGACTCAGCCTGTGGTCTGGCCCCTCTTTTGCTACACACACTAAGCTCTGCCACACTGGCCTCCTTTCTGTCACCTGGAGGTGTCGAGCTTGTTCCTACCTGTGTGCCTCTGCACACATTCCTTCTGCCTGAAACTGCCACAAATCTCTACATGCCTGAACCTCTTTTGCCACTGAGGTCTCAGCTCCAATGTCACCTCCTCAGAGATGCCTGCCCTGACCACCCAGTCTAAAGTAGCCCAAGCCACTCTCTTACAGTGCTATGTTTCTTCACAGCACTTTGTGATGCTTGGTCACTATCTTCCCAAGGGCAGGGATTAGTCTGTCTTGTTCACTGAACTATCTCCACCGAAGACAGCATATACTCGGCACTTGGTATTTGTTGAATGACTGAATCATGTCTTCCTCTCATTCCTTGTTAACAACTGACACAGCAGGAAAACTCCAAGACATTCGTCCTTGGATGCCTGTGTCTCAGCTCAAAAGATAAATATCACTCCCTCCTAACTACTGGACATCTAGTCCATTTGGAGAGCTTAAACTGATGTGAAGGTTAATTCCAGGTGTCAACTTGATTAGGGATATTGAGAAACCGAGTAAAGCTATCTTTCAAGATGTTGTCCATGAGGGTGTTTCCAGAAGAGATTAGCATGAGAACCTGAATGGACTGGACGGGAAAGATCCCCCCTCAAATGGGGGAAAACCATCCAATCTGCTAGAGGCCCGGAAAGAATAAAAAACAGAGAAAAAAATGTGAATCGCTCTCTTTATCTGCTGGAGCTGGGATACACTCTTCTCTCCTGTCCATGGACATCAAAGCTCAAGACTCTGCAGCTTTCGGTTCCAGGACTTACACTAAAAACACCGTGGGCTTCCCTGGTTTGGAGGCCTTCAGACTTGGACGGAGCCACACTACTGGCATCCGGTACGTGGATGGCCTATTGTGGGACTTCTCTTCACAATTTCGTGAGCCAATTCCCTTAATAAATCCCTCTCATATGTTTATTACATATCCTATTGATTCTGTCTCTCTGGAGAACCCCGACTGATACGACTGAGGATCGTTAGGAATCCTTCAGCAGCTGCTGACTCCAGAGGTGGACAGCTTCTGCCCAAGGTGTCAGAACGAGATTAATTTTCTGATTCAATGCTGTTTTTTATCCCTTTATTCTATTGCTAATCTTAGTCTCTTATTCCATTTGACGCTCTCTAAAACACTAATATGATCTCCCTTATTTTTATCCTATTTTTTTCTGACCCTATGGTCTCTGTCTACCACTTATGGAAAAACAAAACTCTTGTTCTTTTATCCCAAACCACAGCTACTGCTCTGAATTTAACCGATTGCTGGATCTATCATCCCCCACCTGACCTTTCAGACAAGAATGTAACAGCTAGTCAAAGGGGAATTTTTATGATAGCAAATACTTCTTGTTGCACATAGAACTAATTGGGGCTAGGGAGGGAAAAAAAGCAAAACACCTGGCTTCCTGAAAGGGACTCGACTGCCTTCTGAACATGTTTTTATTGAGTGGGTTTCATCATCGAGTCCTCTGGTTTCAAGGCCCGTTACAAAGACTCATAATCCTTTTGTTTTTGATAATGTTCTGTCCTGAGTCTTAAATGCTCCTGCATAGCCATCGTCACCTCAAATGACTCAGAAACTCTTTCACCATAGAAGGAGAAAGAAGGATTAACTTTGGTCCAACTACAAATCACCATTCCATGGATGCTCCTCCAATCCTTAGCAGTAAAATCTGGGCAATGGTGAAGATTTGGATACTGTGGATTAATGCCCAGTGGCCTGACTTCATCTGCCTTTTACCAGAAAGGGGGACTGAGAATGAATGAAAAGCAGCCTCTGACATCCAGGAACTGACCTGACGCTGACAGCTAGACCTCGAAGTCATCACAAACTGGGCCGAGGCTTACAGCTCACCGTGTCGTCCTCCTGTTGGACACACACAGCTTCACAGGACAGCCACTTCAGACAGGTCGTTGGGCAGCCCGCAAAATGCCAAACATCCCCCCTCACTAAGTGAGTGACTGCTACTCTTTTTCTTTTTTCTTCTTCTTCTTCTCTCTCTCTCTCTCTCTCTCTTTTTTTTTTTTTTTTTTTTTTTTCTCTCCCCCCCCCCCTCCCTCTTTTTTTTTTTTTTTTTTTTTTTCTCTCCCCCCCCCCCTCCCTCTTTTTTTTTTTTTTTTTTTTTTTCTCTCCCCCCCCCCCTCCCTCTTTTTTTTTTTTTTTTTTTTTAGCAATTATTGCTTTTTCCTTGCTTCAGTTTGCCCTCTGTAGAGATAACATTTACTGAGATTCCCAATCATAGAATTTCCCTGCTTTCTGACAATACCCATTCTATAGCAAATCTCCGTTTCCTTAATCCTGGCCCCAAATTACTCAACCAAGGCCCAAATCCTGTACTAGGTTCTTTCTAACAATCTTTTACTGAGATGCTGCATGGTTCCCCATGGTGTGTGCTCTCCCGCTGCAATGGGTAGTAAACCCAGGTGTTCAGGTGTGATTCTGCTGGTTTTGGCAGAGGGCATTGGTGCCCTATAGCCCAGACTCTTCTCAGTGCCCCCAAGTCAAGCCTCACTGTTCTTCCCATTCTGATGTGATCCTCCCTCCCCCTAATTCCCTTTCCCCCTATCTTTGAAGCATTCTTGCTCACCCCAAATTCCACTTACTTTTAGCCCAACCCCAATTCATCCTGTTCCTGGGAAAGCTCTGGGACCTGCCTCACGGGCTTTTACCCCAAGCATGACTTCCAATCCCTGCAAGGGGGTCAACATCTGGGCTGCTCACCTTGGGGATTATTTCCAGCCCTCCTGAACTGGACACAGTGTAGCGGGAGCCCATGTAGAGAGGGGTCAGTGGGGGCGGCTTGCGTATTCCCACAAACTGGAACTTCTTTTCTTCATCATCTATGGCCTGAGGAACACACGGAACAACAATTAAGGGAGGATTCTGTCCTGTGGAATCTGCTCTGAATAAGGTGAGAGGGTGTGTTGGTGTGTTTGTGTGGGCTGGGTGTGGGGTGTAAATACCACCTGTGCACACCTCTCCCCTGTGCACTGCAACACAGGGAGCCCCACACTTGGCCTCTGCTATCTTCAGGGTGGGAATAGGGTCATTGCTAGAGAAGTGAGAATAGAAAAGACTCTGTAGCCTTTCTGGGCATGGAGCCCTCCTATCCTTCCAACTCTTGGGAAGAGGTTGCAAAGTGTTGACCAGAGATCAGTGATGGAGCAGCAAACCCAGCTGGGGGAGACCGTGGGGAGTCAGGAGACCCATCCATGGCTGAGCAGGGGGCAGGAAAACCACATCAACATTCCCGCTGGAGGACCCCTCTAGAGGGCTCTCTGGCTGCACTTCATGTCAACCGTCAGCCCACCCCGGTCCAGCCTTTCTGGCTGTCACTGTCACCTTCCGAATGGAGCAGTCACTGGGGATCAGGTAGAGGTGGAAGGTGGCTTCCTCAGGACGGAGGTGGTGGTAGAGCAGCACGATGCAGGTGATGGGAATGAAGCGCAGGGCAGTGTTGATCACTCTCAGGAGAACCCCAATGGGGGAGAAGCTGGGGTTTTCCAGGACTATGTAATGTGGCTCCACCCTGGCTGGCTTCTCCAGGAGCATCCCCTCCTCTTTAATGTGGGCCACATGGAAGAGGGAGATGTCTATATGGCCGCCTGTTGAAGAATGGGTTCGAGAGGCATGGATTCAGTGCCCTCCCTGAGTCAGGCATGGCTGGGGCAGTAGGATCCCAGGGCTTAGGCTCAGGAACCCTCTTGGGGAACCTAGTGCTATGGTCTGAATGTTTGTGTCTCCCCACATTCGTATGTCGAAATCCTAACTCTCAAGGTAATGGTATTAGTGGGAGGAGACCTTTGGGAGGTGATGAGATCGGGGCAGTGCCCTCATGAATAAAATCAGTGCCCTTATAAAAGAGACCCAAGGCAGCTTGTTTGCCCCTTTGGCCCTGATAGGAAACACCTATAAAGCACCATCTGTGAATAAGAGAGCTCTCACCAGACACTGAATCTGCTGGCACCTTGATCTTGGACTTCCCAGCCTCCATAACTGTGTGAAATAAACTTCTGTGTTTTATAAGCCATCTAAAAACTACCCAGTTTATGGTACTCTGTTAGAGCAGCCTGAATGGACTAAGGCACCCGGTATGGGGAAGATGGCATGCCTAAGCCTGGGGCCTTTGGAGGCTGTGGGCGATAATGTCTTTGGGGTGGGAGCACCACAGGAACCCCCTCGAACCAAACTCGTACACAGTTCCAGCCCCAGGCTCTGGAGCCGGGAAAGATATTGGAAGGTTATGGTTACCTGCCCTGGTGTATATTCTGTAACTATGAGACTATCACCATTGAATGATGCTGGCAGGTTTGACTCTAGGCAGGTAGAGAACAAAAAGAAAGGGACAGTGGGGAAAATAGAGTGACCAAAGGTAGTCTACATTGGTCAATATTTGGTCACCCTCCATTCAATCCCATTTTTTTGGGGAAGAACCCCCTTCTCTATCACTGTGTGGGTCTTGGCAGGAGGCAAGCTGAGCCTCACACTCAGGAAGATGCTACACTCTGGCAGCTGTGATACAGGTGAGTGGTCAAGACTTAACTAACTGGATGCACCTAATCAGGATCTCGAGTCTAGAGGGGTGAAACACAGAGGAAGAGACAGAGCTTATCTGGGCAGTAGTAGTGGGCTCAAGAGTCCAGTGGCCCATGCAGCAGGAGAGTCCCACAGTGGTTGTGTCCGCAGCAAAGATCTCTCTATTTTTCTTGGTGTGACCTTGGCTTTGTCCTTGGTTTCTCAGCATCGTTAGGTCACTGCCTTTTTGTCCCCCTTAGACTCGTTGCCTTACCTTTTGTTAAGTCTGTGTTACTCAAGAATCTTCCAATACATTCTGTTTCTGCCTAAATCAGCCAGAATTGGTTTCTTTGATTGCAGCCTCTGATCAATGCACCAGGTGAGGACACTGAAGCCACAAGAGAGAGGTTGAGGGATGAAGGCTGGAGTGGGAGAGACACTGGCCTAGAGGTCAGGAGTCCTGGATCCATCCCTACGTTGCCTGGCAACTGCTGCAATGCAGGTGGTTTCTGAGCAGGAAGACATCCAGCAAGCCGGACAAGGCCCTTAGTCTTTGTGGCCATCAATCAGAATATCACCGAGTGGGCCAGCCCATGGCTCACTTGGGAGTGTGTGGTGCTGACAACACCAAGTCAAGGGTTAAGATCCCTTTACTGGTCATCTTTTTTTTTTTTTTAAAAAAAGAATATCACCGAGTGATGTTAATCCCAGAAGGGGCCACAGAGACCATTACTTAAGTTTTCCTATTTATTAATAGCATTTTTGTATGAAAAATAATATCACAGTTGTGTACATCATCTGAAAAAATGAGGAAGAATTCACCTATGATCTCACCAATCAAGTGATATAATAATCTTGTCACCATTGTGCCGTTTTCTCAGTCTTTCTCTGCAGCAACACCTTTCAATGTTTCCATCCTAGTCCATGCAGCTTTGTCTCCTGCTTTTCCCACATCAGTTTAAATTGTCACAGACATCTGTCAGACCTTTCCAATGACTGCAGCAGAGGATCCTGCCAGTAGATGTGTCAGCCTGTCATTCATCATTTGCCTCTCATTGCGGAGTTGTTTGCTTCCAACTCTTCACCATAACTAGCACTGCAATGCATATATTTCTGCAGAGAGCTTTTCTAGCTCCCCTTTCCCTTGTGCTATTGTCTTGGAATCAGTAAGTACCAAGGGATGAGTAATGTGTGGAAAGATATGACTTTTTTTTTAACTCCCAAACTGCTTCTCCAAGAGATGGTGCTGCTCTGTGCTGCCATCAGCGACACTAGGTGGATGATCTCCCCTGGACCTCTGCAGCACTGGAAGGTCCTCACATGTCAGATGCAGGAACTGAAACCCTGGGAGGGGGTGCTTTTCCCAGGACCACACAGCCAGACACTGCCCTAGTCCCAGATCCCGGCACTCTGACCACAGTTTGTGGCACTTACAGATGCTCTGTGCCAGACTAATTTTGGCCAAATTCCAGAAAGTGCCATGTGTCTCTAATGCTTGTCTTCTTGCCAGGGTGACTGTCTTTGTCTTTTCTGTTGCCATAACTCAATACCTGAGACTGGGTAATTTATAAAGAATTTCTTACAGTTCTGGAGTCTGAGAAATATAAGGTCTAGGGGCCTTCTTGTTGGTGGGGACTCTGCAGAGTCCTGAGGTGGCACAGAGACTCACATGGTGAGGGGACTCATGAGAGAGAGCCAATCCAGCTTGTATAACAGACCCACTCTTGTGATAACTAACCCCACTCCCATGATAACCCATTAATCCTCCATTAACCCATTGATCATTCATTAACCCATGAATGGATCAATCCATCCATGAGAACAGAGCCCTCATGACCCAGTCACCTCTTAAAGGCCCCATTTCTTAATACAGTTACATTGGGGATTAAGTTTCAAACTGAGTTTCAGAGGGCACAAACATTCCAACCATAGCAGTGACCAACTATTCTGGCTTTCCCAAAACTAAGAGCTCCCAGGATGCAAGACTGTCAGTGCTAAGACCGGGAAAGTCCCAGGCCATCTGGGATGAGTTGGTCACCTTCCTGCTTGCATATTTTGTCCTTTCAATAGACTGCAGCAGAATCACCTTCTCCAGATGCATTGACTGACAGTATATTTGTGCTGATAAATTGGAAAGAGAAGGAAAGCAACAGGGAAAATGGTGATCTGAAGGGAAGATGCTTGAGTGGTGACTGGGCAAATATCATTGGCAGGAAGACCAGGACCTGCTACCTGGAGCTGCCTTGGCTGGTCTCATTAGAAATATTCAGAACAAGCTGCCATGGGGTAGGCATTTTTTGTGACAGGGCCTCAGGTTGTTTATTAAGCAAAAGTTTACTGAGCACTTACAACATGCAATTTCCTATGGAAGGACACGCACTGCAATTCTGGAGCTCATGGCCCAACAGGGAAGACAGACAGAGACTAGAACAATGGCCCAGAGCGTCACAAGTGCTTTGTCAGGGAAGTCCATCGGCTTCCTCCTTTCCCTGCACATGCCCAGTGTTGCTACTCCTGCTCCCACCATCTTAGGAGCCTGGGGGCTTTCTCTCCTTTAGACCCTGCCCTTGGGGCTGTGGCCTGATACCACAGCCCTGCCCTCACTGCTAAGTGTGTTGTCAGCACCACCCAGGCTCAGGTGAGCTGTTGAGGAGCAAAGCAACTTTCCTGCTCAAGGAGGGACCATGGGACACACATCACTTAAGTGTGGGGGCACTAGAGATACATCTAGCAGAGTGATTAAACGATATGACTGCCTGAGTGTGACCCCAGCAAAAGCGCCTACCAGCTATGAGACTGTGAGCAAGTTACTTAACCTCTCAGTGCATCATCTGTAAAGTGGAGCCAACAACAGCATCCACCTCCTAGCATCGGTTGGAAGGTTAAATTGAGTTTGTGTCTGTAAAGCGCTTGGAATAGCAAGGGCTATCTGCTACTATTATGGACAAAATGCAGCTTTAGCAGGTACATCAACACCTGGCTGTTGTGGTTCTTTCTGTTTCTTCCTCAAGCAACCTGGCCTATCCCTCCAGGTAATCCTTGGGGTCTGGGAAGAAAAAGGTACTCATATGTTTTGAAGCATTTTGCTAAATCTGAGGAGTTTTGGGGCTCTCTATTATTGTCTGATTCAGAAGGTGCTCATTCCAGAGAACCATCACTTTTGAAGCAGGTGTAATACCACTATGGTTCCCAGCAGTGCAGTCCAGGTGAGCTCCTGCGGTGGGCAGGAGGGTTGAGAGAGAAGCTGGGGAATGATTGTACCTGTGGCTGGGTCCTCATTCCCCACGGACAGCACAGAGAGTAGTGAGCACGATGAGAATGAGGGAACTCACTTTCCTGGAGCAAGGGCCGTGTGGACAGCAGGGTGTGTGTATGCTCAAGGAGGTGGGTGGTGGGGGACAAAGGACAGGAATAGCTTCATGGGTGTGTGGCCTGTGCAGGCATACAGAGCCCTGCACTCAGAAGGGTCTGGTGCTTGGTTTAAAGTTCCGCTGTAGCCATCATGACATTCTTAATCCTTTTAAAACAAGGGGCCTCCCTTCTCATTTTATGCTGGGCCCCACACCTGATGGAGCTGGTCCTGCAGGAGGGTGAGCACGCCCCGGGTGGTGAGGTCTGTGAGGCCCTGAAGTGAAACTGAGATGCCGAAAACCCTAAGCTCTAGCTATGGTGGGAGAAAACTCACCTGGGAAAGTTAATGACCAGACATAAGACCTCACTGATGATGGTGAAGCAGCAACTCAAATCAACCGGGCCTGCTTTAGGTGGTGAGGTCATCATTTCCAAGACAAGCAACAGCTGCAGCCTGGATAGCAGGCAGCAGGGATTCCTGGAAGAGGCCCTGCCTGGCCCCAGGATTGTGTTCCTGGCTGGCACGGTCACTGCGAGCTAAAAGCGGCCTTTGTGCAGTTTGCTTCTTGCTCTGTGTGCAGAATCCCAAGGGAATAAATCCTGTCTGGCCACAGGGTGAGGTCCAGAATGTGTTCTAGGGAAGGGTGGTGGGACATGGGCTTGGGCAGTACTGAGGTCGGGTAGCTCTTACTCTGAAATTAATGGGACCTGGGTTAGAATCCCCAGTCTGGACAAGAGTCATCTCTCTGAGCTTCAATTTCCTCATTGATACACCAGGGGAACACCACAGTACCTAGCCTGCCAGGTCGTTATGAAATCGAGATATTAAAACATATGTAAGTACCTTGCATGGTACCTGGCACAGAATGCTCAGGAATTGTTCACAGTTCTTATTAGCTCTGTCTCAGGTGCCCCCAAAGGGCAGTGCCACCAACTCACTGAATTCAGTCCTGTCCAGATACGACTATCACCCTAGCAGACTCTGGCTAGATTTCTGTGCACTCGGAGGGTCATCACTTCCTTGGGCAAATCCCGTTTCCCAGTCCCACCTGATGGACGTACAAGACTGACCGGGGTGTGTGTAGGTGTCCTCACAGTGGGGTGTGAGAAGGGGGCTGGGAGCAGCAGCTAAAGGTAGACTTGGCCCCTCCGGGCCCTGCTGGTGCACTCTGGCTCCAGGCCTTACCTGCATGAGGCTCCCTGGAATACCCAGATGTACAGTGACAGGCAGCAGTGCAGCCCTGAGCATCCCAGGTCTAGCAGACCAAGTTCTCTCACTGCTGGGCACAGGCAGAGCTACAGCAGGGCTGAACCCACTGACTCCATTGGCCAAGCCTCTCTCTTCCTGACAGAGCACTCGGAGCCCCCCTGGCCTAGGTCCTGCTTGTGAAAGAGGCAGCGTGGTTGTGAGGTGGCTGCATTCATGACTCTGCAGATTGTCAGGTGGGGAAAATAACTTGTGTTGGCTGTCATCTGAGCCATCAGCACCCTCTCCCCATCCGAATGGCCTCTGCAGCCCCTAGAGCTGTCTTGAAACTCCCTCCCCACTGCCCCACTTTGCTTGGGAACTTTCCCTAGGGAACACCTGCATGACATGATGCGGTGTGTCAAAGCAGTCGCCTCAGGACTCACGAGGTACCAGAGGCTCTGGTTGCTATTCCTCTGGTCCATGCTCTCCTGCTGAGGTGCAGCTTGAATTATTCATGGAGCTTTTGTGACCTCAACAAATGAGCCTTTCCTGGTCCTGGGTATTGGGCAGTTCCTTGCTTTTTATTTTTCACATTCTATTTTTTCCCTTTCTACTAGTTGAAGATTATTCTTCTTACATATATGCTGTAATTGGTTACCATAATATTTTAATGTGTGTACTTTAAGTCTAAAGATAATGAATATCTTTACCTTGAGGTGATACTAAATATATCAAACTATTGGGATGGCACTATAAATTAATATGCCAATCAATATCTAAGTGAAAAATTAAAATATACTCCCTTTTATTATCTAACTAAACAGTGCATATGATACAACTGATAGAAGCTGTAACAAATTGTTTATCAAATCATTCCATCATCAATTAAATGAAGCCCGAGTCATGTTTTGACATCAGGAACCACATCGGACCCTTCTAGCTTTCTTATTAAATTGGTAGACATTAAGTGCCTGTACCCAGCATTGGCTGGGTTTCACCTGATGCCAGCTCTGTCCACATGGCCTGGTGTGGAGAGCCTGTGCTGCAGCCCCTGCCAACAACACCGCTCCAGATGTCCCCGTCCTGCTGCCTGGTAGGCTCAGACCCTCTTGCCTGCCCTAGGCTTATCCAGAGAAGTGCTGCCTCGGCCACCCCTCCAGTCCATGCCACACCCCGTCCTCATTCTCTGCATCGGTGGCCAACACTGGATGATGTGGTGAGGTAGTTTGTGGTCTCAGGAAGTGAGGAATTTCATTCTACTGACCAGAACAGAGGTATTTCAAAATTTCAACCTGGATGGCAGTACTGGTGCCTCTGTCTGAATGTCAGCCCTGCCGTTTGTATTCCTTCTGAGCTATGTTCCTTTCTTTTTTTTTGGCTGGCCAGTACAGGGATCAAATCCTGGACCTTGGTGTTATCAGCACCATGTTCCAACCAACTGAGCTCACTGGCCAGCCCTGAACTATATTTCAATTCACTATTATTGTTGGTATTTATTTGGTTCTCTCTCTCCCTTTTAAATCCCCTCATAGCAGACCTTCATATTGCTGTTTTATCCAGTCGGAGTTTTGTTAGCTTTTTCACAGGTGTCTCAGTATCTTTGTTTATTTTTCTTCTTGCCTCTCAGACTTTCCATGTAGGATCATTTTCCTCTTGCCTGAGGTACATCTTTTAGAATTTCCCTCAATAGGCATTTCGTTGTGGAAAGTACTCTTGGTTTTGGTTTGTTTTAAAATGTCTGTTTTATCCTCTTCTTAAAAAATAATTCTTCTGTGTTTACAATTTTTGATTGACAGTTATTTCCTTAGTATAATGAACATACCATTCCATTGTCTTCTGCCTTCCATTGTTGCTTATCAAAAATCAGTCATCAGCCTAATTGCAGTACTGTACCTTTTTAGGTAATCTTTCTTCTTTTTTTCCAGTGTTTTTATTTTTAATTATGCATTTTTGTGGGTACAGTGTGTTGTTCCAATACATGCATATATTGTACAGTGGGTAATCTATCTCTGGATGCTGTCAAGATCTTCTCGTAGACAACATTATTCTGTAATCTCACTATAATGGTTCTACTGTTGATTTCTCTCTCTCTTTCCTGATTTGAATTTTTGGGGTTTCTCATTCTGAGAAGTCTCATATCTGTCAGCAATGCTAGACATTTCTTAGCAATTATCTCTTTGAATATTGCACTGTTTCCATCTTCTGTATCATATGCTTCTGGAATTCCAATGAGATATATGTTAGGCCTTCTCATGGTATCTCTATGTTAATCTCTTCTTTCATTTTTTTCTTCATATTTTCTGTTTAGTTAGTTTACTTTTCATTTGTTTCCAAATTCAATTTATCAGTTTTTAATGGTGTCTTGCTTTTTGCTCACACACACACACACACACACACACACACACACACACACACACACACTCACACACATTTCTGGTACCGGGATCCAAATCTTTGACCTATGTCTTATAACACCATGCTCTAACCAATGGGGCTAACTGGCCAGTCTTTTTGCTCATATTCTGTTTCTGATAATTCCAATATCTGAAGTATTTAAGGGACAGATCCTGCTACCTGTAGTTTCTGCTGGTCTTGACTTATGGTGCCTTGTTAATACTTTGTGAGATTTTTGACTGTGAGCTTATATTTTGGGGGACTTTACCTGTGGGAACTGACACAGGTTGGGATATTTTATGACTACTCTCATCTATTGGGAAGCCCCTCTTTCATGGCTCCATCTCTCAAATGGAGTCTGTGACTCTGTTTCTTTGCCCTGCCTGTAGGAGTAGTAATGGCTTTGCATTGCAGCTAGTCCCTGGTTACCCCAATATTCCTTATTAATTCATTTAGCCTTACTTTGTAAATAGTCCTCTCTTTGAAAAGTCTCTTCAAAAATCTCAGCTGAGTATATCATCTGTTTTCTGCTGGAATTCTGAGTGATATGATCTATGTAAAGAGCACTTAATAAATGTTAGTTATTATTGTTATTGAGGAGATCACTTTCCATTTAGGGAAACTTTTAAGGAATCCCAGGCAAAAACAATTATGAGACTGGGAGACATGTGCTTCAAAAAAGATATGCAGAAGAGTGGGATGAGAGAAAATCTGTCTCCACCTCCATCACTTCCTCTCAGTCTCTCTAAGGAAGCCATGAACTCCTTCCCCAGGACACTGTCATCCTGTACTCTTTTTCAGGCATGATATTACCACCACCACCCTCGCTGAGCCTCCCTCTTGCTTACCTTGGAGGGCCACAAAGTGAGGGAGGTGCACAGCTACCACGACTCCCGGCTCAGCCTTGATGTCAAACAGAGGCCCTGCCACCATCCAGCCATGCTGAGGGACAGTCCTGCCCAGGAACCGGTCCCAGGCACAGAATTCAATCTCGATGGTCACTGCCCTTCTCACCACGAAGCAGAGACCCGTCTTGGGCCAGTGATAGGAGCCGGCCATGGGGAAGCAAACTCTGGGAAGAAGAGGGAGAGACAGACACTAAATTATGCAAACTCACTGAGCACCTGCTGGAAGCCAGGGCCTGTGCAGGGGCTTGTGGATACAGTAGTGGCTCCAGGCCCAGATGTCAGAGTCAGACAAATGTGGAGTTGAGTCTTGGTTCCTCACTCTCTGATTGTGGATCCCGGAGCAAATTATTTAACCTCCCTATTATCAGGTTCCTCATCTGTATAAGTAGGGATAATAATAAAAGGGTTGTGAGTAATATGTGAGCTACATGCTGACAGCTTAATATACACCTGGGAGCAGTTAGCTGTCACTGTTATGGTGATGAATACAATGATGATGATGATGATGAAATAGGCAAGGGTTTGTTTTTTTTTTTAAGTGCCTATTTGGCAATCGTTAATAACGGTTTACATGCTAATATTAATGATAAACACCTGGAGCTGAAAATGGTGCTTTACAGAGATCCTAGTGACTTTCTCCAGGCTCCCCACAAGGGAAATGGTGGGGTCGCAGGAAGCCAGCTTCTGTAGGTGTAAGTTGGGAGTGACACTGTCTCCTAGCTGAGATCATGTCTGTGACAGTGTTTGGTGAGAGGCAAGGAGTTATATAAAAGATCGTGATTATGATTAGAGACATTTATTACTTATGAGACTGTAAACCCTTGGAGGGCAGGGCCTCCAAATTCATTTTAGGGTTCCTGGCTACTAGTGCAGTACTTAGCACATAGCGGGTATTAATAACACAGGAGCACATAGACTACAGGAGATTTAAGTGAAATTTAAAAGACATAACAAACCAAATATAATGAGTGGACCTTGTGTGGATCCTGATTAGAACAAACCACCTGCAAGAAAACATTTTAGACAGAGAGCAAATTTGAATATGGACTGGGTATTAGATCATATAAAAGACGAATTGTCAACTTTGTTAGATGTGATAATGGCATTGTGGTGATGGAAGAAAAGGTCTTCATTCTTATTTTTTGAGAAGCGTAATGAAATGTTTAAGGATAAAGTCACCTGCTGTCTTGGATTTAAAATACCTAACAACTAAAAAGGAGGAAAGTGAATACAGTGGCTGAAACAATTTGGCAAAATGGTTGTTGAAGCTGGGTAGTGGGTACATGGAAATTCCTTGTTTTCTCCATTTTTGTGTCTGTTTAAAAATTTTCATAATAAAATTTCTTTTTCCGTAAAAAAAAAGAACCACATACGCACTATCTCAGCCTTGTCTCTGCCTCTAGCTTGTCAAGGGGAGAGGACCCAGTGGGTACTGGGAGGGGAGCTGTCTATGGGGACCCAGGGGCAGGGTGCTGGGTGGGACAGGCAGAGCCCCCTCACTCACCGGTACAGGCTCCTGCTTTTGTCAACTACCTCAGCAGCCACAGGCCCTGTGGCACTCCAGAAGACATCTTTGGTCCCCAGAAGCTCAATGTGCAGTTCCCCCAGAAAGGCAGGAGAAGGCAGACAGAAGGGTTCCACTTGTGTTATTTGTGGGGAGCTTCCCTCTGGAACAGGCAGGGCAGTGATCAGGTGCAGTTCTCCTGCCTGGGCCTCTCACCCCCCACAACTGGACCATGGAAGGGACCTTCTCAAGGCTGGCCAGCCTGGGCAGGGAGTGTGTCTGCAGCTTCTGTCCCTGCTCCTGGGTCTGTCTGTCTGCTGAGGAGGCCTACCCCACTGTCCCCCAACCCAGCCTCTGCCCACCTCCCTTCCCCCCATCCAAAAGTGTCACTCTTCCTAGCATGCCCCAGGTGGTCAGGTGAATAGAGAAACATGGCTCAAAAGATGGATGCAGGGATGGAGACATGATTTCCAGGCCTCAGCAGCCCAGATAGGGAGACTGGGCCCAGTTTCAGAGTCTGATGCATGATCTATATGGTCCAGAGAGAGGCAGCACCAGTCCCCTAGGCTTGGAGAGAGAAGCAGAAATTCAGCAAGGTTCTAGGAGCGAAAGATCTTGCAGGGGGTGGGGCCCTCCTAGATGGGGACCTTGCCCTGTCCCCATCAGAGGCAGGGAGATGGAGGAGATAATGCCCCCCAGCCCTGTCATGATGCTCCCAGCCTGGGCCATTCAAACTACATGATTCTAGGGCTGGTCCGTGGCTTACTTGGGAGAGTGTGGTGCTGATAACACCAAGGCCACAGGTTCGGATCCCTATATAGGGATGGCCGGTTGGCTCACTTGGGAGAGCGTGGTGCTGACAACACCAAGTCAAGAGTTTAGATCCCTTTACCGGTCATCTTTAAGAAACAAACAAACAAACAAATAAAACTACCTGATTTTGGTCTCTGCCGCTTGAGTGAGGACGTATTATGACTCGTCTCTCCTTCATCTGGATCCTCATCTGGGATCATCACACTTGGATTCCTAGACACGGAGTTGTTCATTCTCCCTAAGATCTCAGAGGAAGCTAGAGCTGACTACAGGACATTCCCACTTGGAATTCAACACGCCTGAATTGATCCTGGTCCTTATCCTGTGCTTCTCCTATAGTCCCTGTCATCCACCCACCATCCATGCCAGAACTGGGGCATCATCCTGACTCCTCCCTGGCCCACCCTGGGAGCTGATCACCTTGACACCTCCAGGTAGCTCCCCTTTCTATCCTCTTCTCTCCACCTCCACGGCCTCTACGCTAGGCCCAGACCTCTGCATCTGTGGACAGAACCACCACAGCATCCTCTGAAAGGTCTCCCAGGTTCTTCTCTTGTTTCTCTCCAGCCCATTTTCTACACTGCAACTGATCTTCAAATACAAATCCAGCATGTCACTTTGCTGCAGAAGCCCTGTAATGTCTTCACATGGTCACCACCTCAGGCCCTGACCCACTTCAACCCCATTTGGGCAACTTTCCCCCTACTCCCTGACCTTCAGACCAGTGGTTCTCAAACTCAGTGTGCTTAAAAATCACCTGGAGGGCTTGTTAAAACACAGCTCCCTGGGCCCACTCCCGCTAATCCAGCAGGTCTGGAGGGGGGCCTGAGAATGTGCATTTCTATCAAGCTCCCAGGTCATGCTGATGCCGTTGCTGCAGGTCCACAGACCACACTTCGAATAGCGCTGCTCCAGACACCTGGCCTCCTGTTCCTCAAAGGAGATAAGCTCTTTCCTCCTTCAGAGCCTGGAATAGAACCCTTCTGTGCCCAGCTAACCCCTCCTATCTTTCAGAGCTCAGCTCCGCTCCTTTGGACAAGGTGACATAGGCCCATCAATGCATCCACACCAACCCCAGGTGTAATTACACAGCCTTGTGGCATAACAACTTGTGTCTGTCTTCCTGCTGGACTAAGCTCCTGAGGTGGGGCCATGACTGTCTTGTTCACTGCTGTGTCCTTACATCCCCAAATAGTGCCCGACACACAGTGGGTCTGCAGGGAATGTTTGTTCAATGAATGAATGACTCCTGTTCCTAAGCCTAGGATCTTCTTCCCTTCCATCTCAGGTGAGGCACAGCAGCCAGGAACTTGGGGACACATGCACTTCGTAGCATGAGGGCTGCAGCAGATTCCTAGGGGGTAGAGAATGGACTGTCCTGCCCCCGGGGCTTCCCCCTCTACAGGATGTGTGTATGTGTGTGAGCGTGTGTGGCTGGTGGGGTGAGGGTGAGGTTGGTCTCTCTCGGTGTCTTTGTCTTTGTCTCCCCCTCGTGGTCACTGCCTTCGTGGTTCCAGCCATCTCTGTTCACTGCTCACTCACTCATTCAGTAATTCGACTCATTCACTCGCTCGCCCACTCACTTGCTCTCTCACTTCTTCATCTCCTTATTCATCTAATGGAAGGGCTTAAGGAGGGAGGTGATGTGATTCTATCTGCACTAAACAAACAAGCCTTTCTCTGGCTGCTGTGGTTTCCTGGTTACTTTCTGTCTCTCCCTCCACCCCCAGACATCTTGGCCCTGGGCCTGGGTCGGCCACCCCTTACCATCTGCTGGAGACAAGCAGCTGAGGTCTCTCTTCCTCCAGGGCCCTCAGCTCCTCCTTCACCTCGTTGCTCAGAAGGGTCTCGTCCAACCTGCAAGCATGAAGAAAGCCTGGTTCCCCTGGGATCCCCCACATGATCCCGAGGTCCACAGGGCCCAGAACCCTGGGATCTGCCACCTCCTGAAGGAACCTGCTGTAGGCTCTGACATGGAGGGGGCAGTGAGGAGGTGTGTTAGGGAGTGTCGTCGGGTCCACCCCATGGTTGCTGGTTCAGAGGGGTTGCTGGCTGCAAGGCTGTGTCAGCAGAGGCCTCAGCCAGCTGTACGGGAGTTCTGAAGCCGGGACAACCCTTTAGAGCTGTCTGGAGTTGGGGTGAGGGGCTGGGCCTTTGTACCCCAACATCAGTCAGTCATTAGACCCAGACCGCCCCGAGAATGGGACATGACTTTGGGTGAGGTGGCTCTCACCGGCAGAGGCCATCCCTGTAGCCGGTGGCCAGCAGGCTTCCTTGTGGCTGGGGGTTACGTCTTCATTGCCAGAGGGTATCTGGGCAGCACTTCACAGTGTCTTCCACAGAACGGCCATTCCCCATGGCCTCAAATGACAACCTAGGGATCGGTCCTGGGACTTCCTTCCCAGTGGTGGGAAGGGTTGCTGCAAAGAGAGAGTCCTGGCTCCGTAATCGCAGGCCTTGTGTTCTGGGATTCCTGTCAGGTTTAGGATAGTTGTTGGCTTCTCTTGGGCCTCTGTGTCCTCAGCCTATAACATGGGGTGAGCCACTCCTGCTCTGTGTGTCGTGAGGCACAGGAAGGCAGGAGCTGAAAAGACCCTGCGTCCTGTGAGGGGCTGTGTGTTCACCGCTCTCACTGCTATCAGGGCCTTTCTCCCTCTGGGGAGGGGACGGAGCCCTCCAAGCAGAAGGTTTTTCCTCTCGACTTGAGTCCTGTGGCTCCAGGAAGGAAGGAGACAGAAACACTAGCAGGACCTCAGAGAACAAGCTCCCGTCTGGGGCAACCAGGGTTTCACAAGTGATGTCGAGCTGGTGCCTGGATGCAGATCCGCCTGCAGAGGCCAAGCTCTGGAGAGGCTCTTCAACATGGGGGAGATGGTGATAGCCAAAAACACACGGTGGGGAGCCGGCGGGGCATGAGGACGCCAGCCCCTGGAGTTTCCCTGGTTGTAAATGGCCGGTTTCAGCAGTTTCGGGAGAAGCCACGTGTAGACTATTTACCCCTGTTATCTTGGCCTGATCACTCCTTTAGGTTTGAGAGTCGAAATGGAGGCCTGGCGGAGGAAAGCCCGAGGGCCCAGGCTTCCCAGGCCCCTTCAAAAGCCAGCCTAGAGCCTCAGAGCTGGACTGGAGGGCTCTGGATGGGGAGGTCTGGAGCCCCTGTTGGTTCTCTGAGTGTGTGGCAGGGCCAGGTGCCACAGCCAGAAATGGCCTGTGGACCTGTGCTCATGGAGGTGGAGGAAAGAGGAGTGGCCGAGAGACAGTGTGGGGGTGATGGCTTGGAGAAGGCGTGAAATGAGGCTGGGCCCACTCCATTCCAGCCTCTCAGGGCCTTGCTGGTCCAGAGCCTGCCGCACGCTGTCCCTTTGCCTGGACTGTCCTCCTGGACCTGGCTTCACAGGCTCCTATTTCTTCTTCAGGCCTCAGCCTGATCTCCCTTCCTAAGAAGCCCTTCCTGCCCTTCTATCTAGTTCCATCCTCCCCAGCGTTACACTCTCCTAGAGCCCTGTGCTGCCCCTTCAGAGCGCTGCACAGAGCTTATAAATGCAGGTTGTGTGTTAACAGGTGATCCCACCTACCTCTTTCCCACTAGGGTGGGAGCTTCAGGAGGGCAGGCCCACCATGTCTGTTTACTGACTATATATCCAAGCGCCCGGCCCTGTGCTTGGCGCATGGGAGAAATGCGATGAATGAATGAATGAGCAAATGAATGAATGAGTCGCTGCCCTGGATTGAAGTGAACCCAAGTGTCCCTTAGAACATGCAGCCTCACTAATAGTTGTCATCTGATCATGCCCGACTCTTCCCAGCCCTGTCCTTGTTTTTACATACATTTTATTTTATCACGATCCATGAGGTGGGTATATTATTCCCATTACACAGATGAGGAAACCGAGTCTCAGAGAAGACACTGACTTGCCCCAGTCATGCAGTGTAAGTAAGTGGTGGAGCCGGTAACGAACCCAGGCTGACTATGCATTTATATGTCCCTTTTCCTTCCCCTAATCAGTCCCCTGCTATCCTTCCTCTCTCCCCTCCCCTGCCCTCTGCCCAGCAGGGACCCGCAGGGCCTTACCACAGGAACTTGAGTTGGCAGGTGGGACGCCGGAGCCCCTCACAGAGCATCCTCACACCGAGGTCACCCAGGTCGTTCTGCTGTAGGTCTAGCTTCGTCAGACTGGAGCTGGCGCTGATCATAGAGGCCAGGACCTGGCAGCAGCTGGACGTGAGGCCACAGCTGACCAGCCTGCAGGAGAAACACACACAAGCCCACAGTCACTGTCCCGAGGGCTGGCTCTTCTGGGTAACTGGGGTCTGCTCTCCCTTGCTATAGCTGTGGCCCTTTGGGGATCCTGGGGCAACATTAAAGGAAGGTAAAGACTTCACTGGCTTGCAGAAATCTGGGAGATTTGAACTTTCCTCTTGCAGCCAAAGAGCCCCTCAGGATGCAGACGGCCTCCCTCTCTCCTGTGTGAGTCCCATGAACACTACCCACACACCATATCTACCTTGTAGGAGTAATTTACCCAGTATTCCACTTGTATACCCGGGCCTAATTGTTAACCACATCAGTCCTGCCAAACACCCAGTCAGCTGACATGGGATGTTTTGGTGGGTTTCAATATTAAGGACATCTACAGTCCAGAAGAAAAATGAGTGAACTGATACAATAAAAGTCGAGGGGGAGTATGGTGGCTTCAATCGGAACCAAGGGCCTGTCCTGGGCTCCCCACTGCATATTGGGGTCTGGAGTATGTGCTGTTCCAGGACAACCTTTTTAGAGGGCAAAATTATTAATGCACATACGCTTTACCCAGCAATTCCACCTCTGGGTATTTAGGCTGCAGATAATACACTGTGTCTCAGGATGCATGGACGAGGATATTAACTGCAGCTCTGTTTGCTGTGCCAAAGACTAGAGATAACCTGGATGCCCGTCACAGGGGACTGATTAAAAGCTGATGGTAAATTCATGTAGTGAAATTCCATGCTGCCATTAAAAAGAACACAGCAACGTTGTATATAATGACGTGGTGCTATCTCCAAGACACATTTTAGGTGATAAAGCAAGGTGCTGGATAGTGTTTGCAGAGTGCTACCATTTATGCAAGAATAGGGCTGTGCATGTACTGTGTGTTGTATATATGCAGGCGCTATCAGGGGGCATCTTGTATGGGATCCTCTGCTCTTGGGGTCTCAGCCCTGCTTCAGCCACCCTTGACTCCCATGGCTGGGTCCGCTTGGCTCCCAGCAGAATGCTCAGGACCTCATGGCTCCATCTGCAGACCAACCTAGTAGCAGGTTACCTAGCACTTAAAGGATCTTGACTAAGAGAGGGGACTGGGAAAGTGGAAAACCAGGCTTTGCTGTCAGACCTGGCTTCAAATCCTGGTGTTGCTTCCTGGCTCTGAGACCTGGGGAAAATAATTTAAACTCTATGGGGCTCAATTTTGTCCTGTGTAGATGCAAGTGAGCGTTAAATATTACAGGTGGGCTAGCCTTCCAGGGATCGCTGACTCCCGATATTAGAAGGAGACCCCAGTTGGCTCCTCTTCCTATCCCCACTCTGTCAACCTCTTTGCTCAGGGTTATTGGTGGTGGGGGGAGGGGAACAGACAATGACCCGTTTACCTGAAACACTCTTCTTGCCTGATAGCTCGCGGTCTGTTTCCTCACCTGCTTCATGTCTTTGCTCAAAAGTAAGTCACCTTGGTGAGATCTTGCCTCACCATCTTCCCTATTTACAATTTTAAAGACACCCCAGACTCCCTGCTTCTTTCTGCTTAACCTTTCTCTTTGGCCATATCACACGCAAGGTATTTTACTTATTTATGTGGCTTTTTGTCCTCCCTCCCCCACAGAAAGTAAGCTCCAAGAGGAAGGAATTTTGCCTGTTTTGGTTACTAGCTGTACCCCACTGCCTAGAGCACTGTCTGGCATATAGCAGGCACTTAATAAATATGCAGAGAGTGAGTGAAATAGCACCAAAGGCACGTTAGGTGCAGCTGAAGGCAGAGGAATGATTGACTGGTTTTGACGAGAGAAGGGGGAGAAGGTGAGCCTCGAATGAGTGGTTTGCCAAGGTGAGGGTGCAGGTGGGGCACTCTTGGCTGGGAGGTGGATGTGCGATGACAGTTTAGTGATGTTGGCATAAAGGGAACATGGCAGGGAGATGGAGTTTGGGGGTGAAGCTAGAAAATATCAAGATAGTGGTAGACTTTCAATGTCCTTATAAGATACTCGGACCCTGTTCAGGTGGCAGTGATGCGCCCCTGAAAGTTCTTGAGGACAGTGGTGATGTGATCTCTGCATTGCTCTGGAAAGCTCTCTGACAGCCAGTGGAGGGTGGCTGGATGTGGCCAGGAAGGGAGCAGATGGTCCAGGTGGTGGGATGAGCACATGGGTCAGAGCAGTGGCTGTGGGGAGATGCTTCAAGTAGACCCCAAGGCACTTGTTGCCTCTGTAGATGTGGGGGCCAGGGGGGCTTCTAGGTTGGATGTGGAGTTGAAGCTGCTGCTTCTTGCTGGGAGAGAAGATGTGAGAGGAGGCAGGGTCAGCTTCACAGGTGCACGAGCAGTGCAGTTGCACACAGCCATATGCTCAGAAGGTCTCGCGATTGGGGCTTAGTGCTCTGTGGCTGCCATATTGAATTTCCTAATAATTCTCTCCTTGAGTTTGTGTTTTGTAAGTGGAGTCCGAAGAGACAGTGGAGCCTTGGCTCATGATACCATCTCCTGCCACCTCCCTCCTGCACTCCCTCCCTCAGCAGGAATAGTTCTTGGCACTCACTTCCCTGCCTCCTGGTGTTGTGGGGCTGCTGCCCAGCCTTCCCCTCAGCCCAGTGATCGCTGTTGCCCTCTGTCTCCAGTGGGGGCCTGGATCAGGCACAAAGAGGATTGGGGTGGGGCATCTTGGAGTAGGGCTTGTCGGCATCTGCCCCACTCTGGGCTGGCAGCACTAGGCACATTTGTGGGGGCAAAGTTATTACCCACTGCTGATCTGGATACCTGGTGCACCCTGGCAATACTCTGTGGGACACGGGTAGTCTCCCATCTGCTATGGGTTGGATGGTAGGCCCTCGGGAAGGGGCGACGACTTTCCACCCAGTCTGGGGCATGGTGCCTGGGTCCGGCGACTGGGGGAGGGCGCACTCAGGATCTGGAGGGCTGTGTGCACACACTGAGTTGTGAGGCAAGGGAGAGGTTGGGAAGGGGAATCCACACGGCACAGCTTGTAATGGTGAGTCATGCGGGGATGAATAAAGCCATGAAAAAGGCACATGTGTTTATGGTGAAACGAGTCCTGGGGGCAGGAATATGCCCGGCAGAAATGGGCATGTCAACATGCAGGAAACCAGACAGGCCAGGCGGGTAGAACCCGTCATCAAGGGACGTGTGGGCTGGCAGGAGGCAGCCATCTGGGAAGTGGGCCCTCAGCCGTGAGAGGTGGCTGGTGGCCAGCACAAAGCCACATCTGTAGGGACATCTCTCAGCTGGATGCCTGACTTCCCTGGGCCACACTGATCAAAGGAGACAATGTATGCCATGTGCTTAGGACAGTGACTGGCAGAAGGTTATTGCTTAAAGAATGCTGCTGCTGTGGGACCTGACAGCCTCAGCGTCCTTCACATTGTCCAACTCAGCTGCCCGTGTTTCCACACAGCCCTTCTCTTTCCCTTCTGTTCCAGAGGAGGCCAAGTCTCTTCCCTCATGTGTCTTGATTCAACGTCCTTCTGGCTCTCCTAAGACCTTCTTCTTTCTGGTTTCCTCTTTCCGGTTAGAGATCTCCAACCTCTCCTGTACCAAATCCTTTGCCTTTGTCTATGTAATGGGCTCAGTTTTACATGCCCATTAAACAAACAAACAAACCCAGGGGAGGTGGGGTAAGATGGCAGACTAGAGGTGCCTGGGGCACATTCCTCTTACAAAAAAGGACCAGAAAAACTAATAGACAGCTAAATATCAATATGGAAGTGTCTGTGAGAGAGTGTAGAAGTGCAGCAAGAGACTGGTGAGACCTCTGTGGAGCACAAAAGCCCAGGATGACAGCATAGAGAGGAGAGAGGCACATGGCCTCAGCTGCCATGTCTCTGCCACCTGGATCGGTGTAGGAGAGATTTTACTTGCAGGGGGGAAAGGCAGGCAGAGGACTCACACGAACCCCCATCCTCACCACAGAGGACTGCAGATCTTTTTGCAGGAAGACTTCACAGCGTGGAGTCAAGTGTGGGGAGCTGCCTAGAATACATGCGCTGTATTGCTCCAGAAAAGGAGCACATACGGTGTACTCCCCACCCACCACCCTAATGACCCAAGCCAATGCAGCATGGAGCCATCTGCAAACCAGAGTGGTGGTGGGAGTGTGCCCTGCCCTGGGGCTAGTAGCTGGTGCTTCCCCAGCCTTAGGCTCTGCAGTTATCCCAGCACACTCACGTGATCACAGTGGCATGAGGTCTGGACCCAGGGGTGGCTAGGACCCCAGCCCAGCACGTGTGGGAATCCAAACTCAGGCCTGCTGAACTGATGCACCCCCATGTCCCTGGCCAGAGATCAGACAGGCCAACCCCCACCCCTCCCACCAGTGCGCTGAGTTCTGTGTGCAAGCTTCAAACCCAGAAAAATAGCTCATGTGTCCCTACCCTAAAAAACTCACCTCCAGCCAGTGGATATAAAGCACATTTGCACCCTCCTGGAGAAGCAGCCAAGAGATCTTGTCCTCAGCAGCCTTGCCCACTACTTGAGAAGCGGCTTGTAGGGTCCCCACTGTAGACCCATTTAGCTGCCTTGCCTACTGCTGATAGGCAGCTAGCAAGGCCTCCTCTCTGTAGCCCCACATAGTGGCCTTGTACTCTACCCAATCAAAACCCAAAGACACATTTGTGGATGAAAGTTCTTCCCCATGCAAGCCTTTTATAAAATTTAAAGAGGTGACTATTCCACCAAATGCACAGATATCAATGTAGGCAAACAAGACATGAAAAAACAAGAAAACATGATACCACCAAAGAAACACAATAATGCTCCAAGTATTATTCTGATCCCAAAGAGTCAGAAATCGATAACTTGCTGGCAGAAGAATTCAAATTAATACTCCTATGGAAACACACTGAGATACAAGAGAATACAGACAAACAATTCAGTAAAATCAGAAAAACAATTCATGGTCTGAATGAGAAATTTAACAAAGAGGTAGATATCATAAAAAATCAAACAAATCTTGGAATCGAAGAATTCATTGAATGAAATA